CAAATGGGTGAAGTGTCCTTTTAAAGGATTTAATTTGCTTCTTGCTTTTTTTATGACATTTTATAAACCAAATGATTAATCAAGAGAGAGGCATGTAGGTCCTGAATCTACGTGTAAACTTGTTGTAAGAATTGTGAACCTGTTCTGACTGTATCTCCTGTCCATCTACAGCTGTGTGCAGGTAGAAGAGCATCATGCTGTGGACATCGACGTTTACCACTGTCCCAACTGTGACGTCGTACGAGGACCCTCCCTGAGTGAGTGCTGCTAGTAGTCATTAGTGCCATGTTTCCTTTTGTTTTTTGCGTCTCTCTGTCCCTCCCTCCCTCAGTCCGAACATGGATCTCATTCATCAAACACCGTCCTCTGATTTTTTTGCCTTACATTTACATGTCTAACCCTCTTTTCCATTCAGTTTTTCCCCTCCCACCTCTGTCTCTGTATGTTGGGCTGGTCCCAGGGGAAAAGGGTCACTCTCTGCAGTGTTACTCAAGTCTGATTTTTTTATTTTTTTAACGGGGGGGATGGGTTAACCTCGGGGAGCCCAGAGGGCAGACATTGACCGGCTAATTGAATGGTGTAAGCCCTCCACTGTGATTGGATCTCCATCTCTTAGCGCAGGGGTTGAGTAGGGAATTAATGTCCTCACAAAAAGTGGTGGTTATGTGCATAATTCACCACTTTGTTGGGAGAACAAGCTTCAAGAGGGACATGATAACATTAGAATGGAGCAACCCTGTGAACCTCCGGTGTTTCTGTTTTGTTGCAGTGAAAAAGCGGAACAACTGGCACAGGCACGACTACACGGAGCCAGACGATGGATCGAAGCCGGTGCAAGCCGGCACGCCAGTATTTATCAAGGAGCTCCAGAGCAGGACCTTCGCCAGGTAGATATCAGTTTGGACACATGCAAACGCATACTTATAAATTACCTCACCATTCAACCCAAGCCTGGTTTATATCTGTTAAACCAGATAAAGAGTTCATCATAAAGCTCGTTTTACACTTTTAACGAGAGTCCTGTTACAAATATCTACAGCATAGGTTGTTGAATTATAGTTAACCCGCTGATAGCACCACTGCAACACTACATGGGGGTGTGGTACATGATCAGGCTGTATTATGATCTAATTATGTTGCCCACAGTAACTGTAGGTGGGTGGATTTTTACTATATTTGGTTGGAGAAATAGCCTGTGCTTACGCTCTCTCATTCTTTGAGTCACTATGATAGAGGTTATGTTTGTGGCGAGTGGATCATTTGCCGTGGAGACTGATGGATTTGTGTTATTGAAAACCAGCAGACACTTGAGCCTTTCTTCAGCTTGCTCAATGTTGTCTTCACTATTGGCAACTGGAAACTATGGTGTAGCCTGCAGCGAAAATATTATATAAATAAATTAATAAAAATAAATCCACCTTAGATCTGAAGCTGCTGTAACTTTGAATACTGACATAAAAATCCTCTTTTTTTTGAATCAGTCGAATCACTAAATATCCTTTTTTTAAAGTATTTAAGGGCTCCTGACTCTGAGGCTGTATTTATAACAATGGATCAAGTTTACTGAACTCAATATGATCTTGTTTCAGTGGCGAGGAGATTCTGATGAGGATGAAGGGCGAGGTGGTGACACCCAGGTACCTGGAGAGACAAGGCTTCCACTACCCCATAGTGGTCACGGAGATGGAGGGCCTGGGACTCAAACTTCCACCCCCTACTTTCTCCGTCAAAGATGTGGAGCAGTATGTGGGTAAGGACACTTAATAATGAACTGGCTTTATTCTGCAGCGTTAAAACAGTTGCTGTCAGCTGTATCGGATTTACAATAACGCATTAGTGTTTATCCTTTGGGAAGCACGTGGGCTCTGTGATTGGAATACACAGTAGCCTCCGTCTGCTTAAAAGCTGATGAAACCACCCAACACCAGCCAGCTAAGTGGCCATTGCTGAGCAGGCGCCATCTGTGTGTCAATATGAACAGGTTTCCAGGTTCATGGGGTTTTAACCCACTTATCAGGCATCAGGCGATGGCTGAATGAGTTCTAAATGAGTGACGTCTAAGCTTTCACTACCCTCTCTGTGACCACTACGCTTCCTTATTGAAACGGCCTGCCACTTCCCGGCTCCTATTACAAGCCCATTACCAAGCCCACCGGTGTTTTTATCATTAAGTTCAGATTACAGACTCCCCCTCTCACTTTATCTCTCTCTCTCCCATGCCCTATTGAGCATTAAGCCAAGGCACAGGTGTTGTGACCGGGGACTGAGTGTCGGATTGCATTTCTTACAGTTAGAAGACAATGGGACAACAGGAGCGAACGCTGATGTCTTCTGAGTCTCACTGGGCTCTAAGTGGTTGTGTGGCCAACTGATTGGGCCCAGTGGTGGAGCGTCAATGAATGATCAGTGGAAGTCTAATGATGGAGGTCCCATAAATACAGCTTGTACTGAAGATTGGTAGGATACTGATACTGTGTCATGCTGGTGCCTGTATTTGAACATGCAGCGCACCGGGAACAATACGTGAGGAGTTAATGAGGAGACTAGACTTGGATTGCATTGACTTTACTGGGGTTTAAAAACAAGTGTTATCCCCAAAAAATATATAAAAGGCTGGTGAAAACACATACCATATAACATTACCAGTTCAGTTATGGCTGGGGGTTTTATGTTGCATGTCTCACCCCTTTCTCTTCCTATATTTTCTGTCCTGGATCTCTGTCACTACCCTAAATGCTTAAAGTGGTACATAGACGTATATTTTTGAGAAATACCGCACTTCCATGATTATTTAGTAATCCAGTGCGCGTGTATAGAAATGTGAAAAAATATAATACCACAGAAACCGTACAGCTTACAGTAATGTGATACAATATAGGATTTGAAAGAGGATATAAGGAGCCTCATATGTGACCTCAGAGAAGCAACCAAATCCAACATTTCCACATTCAGTGAGGCTGACTGAACAGACGTTCAGTGAAGAAGAAGAAGCAGATCAGAGCGGTGTGGCTCGGTCTGTAGAAATACTGCATTTAAACGTTGGTTTGACCCCGTGAATGTACTTTATCACTCCAGGAGACAGTACACATCTGTGGGATCGCAAAACTACCTTTTGAAGAAGCTAATGCTAAATGATTTTGGATCACCTTGCTTTATAAATTGATGATTAGGGAGAAAAAGAGGAGAGTTTCTGGTTCAAGCATGTTGACTAAGACATATTTGCAGCAATTAGGTTAATTAACAACCTCTTTAACATTACTGGGTGTTGTAATACATTATAGGAGAGACAACCAGTAGCTCCAAGTGCCTCTCGAGCTGCTTCGGTGCTGTGGATTGCTGACATTATAAAAGGTTTTGTGAAGCTGGTGTTTTGAGATTGCCGTTGTGCGGTTTCCAGGCAGCTTTGTCTCTCACTGTGTGACTGACTGCCTTTACTCCAGCTGTTCTCTGTCATCAGACGCTGGCCAGCTGGGCCTTCAGAGGTGTTTGTGAGTGCAAGTGCATGTGAGTGCATGTTTGTGTGTGTGTGTGTGTGTGTGAGGGGGAGAGAGGGAGAACACGCAAAGGGGTAATAAAAAAGGTGAGTGGGAGGGGTGTGGGGAAAATACAACAACCAGCTGTCTTGCTGCACACACTGCACCTCGGTCTTACTTCCGGCCCCATGTGTCACCCAAGTGTGATTTGTAGCGCCCCAACTGTTAGCTGTGTAGTCTCTGCTTTGACTTCTTTTTTTTTTTTTCTCTTTTCCTTTTTAAGCATCTGCTGTCTGTCTCATACGCGTACACGCACCACACGAAGCCTCTGCACATACTCTTTCTCGCATCTATACACGTATTTATCTCTACGTTCGAGGTCTCCCACGCACACATACGCGTTAAATGCGGCGGCCCTCTCACCTCCACCCACTTCCCCTCCTCAGGGAGTGGTGTTCTGGACAGATTGACGGATTGTCTTGCTTGGCCCGCTGTACAACCCCTCCCCGCACTGCCATATTGGTGCCAGTTTCCCTCAGGGCTTGTTCTCTAAAAGCACATGGAGATGCCAGCAGGCCACTGACCCCAGTGAACCCCACGCCCACTTGGCAGCCAATTAAAAAATTTAAGATATGCTTCATATACAAAATCTCCATCTGATATTATCTGGACTTAACGGTACTTATCTCCCATGTAGGTGGCAACAAAGTCATTGATGTGATAGATGTGGCACGGCAGGCGGACAGCAAGATGAAGCTCAGCGAGTTTATCAAGTATTTCACCAATCCGATTCGACCCAAGGTCCTCAACCTCATCAGCCTGGAGTTCTCTGACACCAAGTAAGCTTCGCTCTAGTCTGTTCGCTATGTTGGTTAAAGAAAGAGCTTCAGTAAGCACAGATTCCTAATTGACACAAGCAGTAAGTCAGTCATGTCACACTTCTGGAAATGCTTATGTAAACCAGTACTGGCTGTATAACAAATATTTCTGTAACAGTCCTAGTAGTTAGAATGCAAACTTGGTTACAAAAAAAGTTCATTTCTAGCTGCTTTTAGTCAGTAATACACAATTTCCCATTTTAGATCATTTGTATGGCCACTATAACCTGACCAATACTCGATACAATAGGCTGATGTCGATGTTTGGGAACTTTTTTTAAGTCCGACAATAATATATCAGCCAGTTGTAAATGTCTTTGTACAAATCAATTCGTACACTGTTTCTAAACCTATACACCAATAATATATCTACAATAAGCTTATATCTGCCTGGTTAATTTATCAGTCTAGCTGAAATGCCCACCATACGACTTCATGCTCATTACATATCAGTAACTTGGCTGACACTCCAGTTACATGTTTGGGTTTTGAGTATGCTTAGAGATAAAACGTTTAGTGTTATCAACAGAAGATGAATCAGCGTCAAGTTTGAAAAACAATTAATTCTGGAAGCAGTTTTGGTTCCACCTTGTTTTACTTTCAGGAAATTGTGACACATTTTGTGGCATATTTCACAGTTTCCTAATAGTTCATAGGCTGAATGATTACTCAAATGATGGTGACTCAATTGTTAGCTCTTGCTCAAACAGCCTTGGACAGATTATCAGATCTGTTTTCATTTGGTTTTGAAAACATTAAGCCAACCTTGCTATCAGTATTAATGAGTATCTCACCTCTCATCTCTCTCTTATGTCATCTTAATGAGTATATTAAAGTCTAACCTCCCTTTTTGTTTCACTTGCCTCGCTCCAACCGCTCATTAAGGATGTCAGAGTTGGTCGAGGTTCCTGACGTGGCTCAGAAGATGTCCTGGGTAGAGAACTACTGGCCAGACGACTCCTTCTTCCCCAAGCCCTTTGTCCAGAAGTACTGCCTTATGGGGGTCAAGGACAGCTACACAGACTTCCACATAGACTTCGGGGGCACCTCCGTCTGGTACCATGTTCTCTGGGTGAGTGTGTGCATGAAAAAGAGCTGATTATATTTTGGAAAATCAGGCAACAATTGACCATGACACATTCCAGACCCAATTAACCACGTTTGTTGATTTATCTGAGAGCATGCTGCCCTTTCATTTGTAAAGCCTGGTGATTTTTTTTTTGTGTGTTTGTATATGCTGAGGTATTTAGGGCAGGCAGTCATGGCTGATTGGCTACCACTTGCTGAAAGGTCACCCTGCTTCTCACATCACATCTATTCATCAAGCAGCTCCGGGGGCAGCACTGCTGTGCCCGTTTTGATGATCTCACCCTCCCTCTTTCATAAAGCTGACCTTGATTTGGATGTGTGTGTGTGTGTGTGTGTGTGTGTGTGTGTGTGTGTTTTTGTAACAGCAGCATCACCACAGCTGCCCTACTCAAACGCATCATCAGCGTGGCGACTGTTGACTCATACTTCTCTTCGTCTGTTTTGCAGGGTGAGAAGATCTTCTACTTGATCAAGCCCACTTCCGCCAACCTTGCACTATATGAGGCATGGAGCTCCTCGCCCAATCAGAGTGAAGTGTTCTTTGGGGACAAAGTGGACAAGTGCTACAAGTGTGTTGTGCCCCAAGGAACCACCCTGCTCGTCCCTACAGGTCTGTGGTTGTGTCTGTGCGTGTGAGACATTTCTGTTAATCGTCACAGCCAAAGGACCTCTAGTGCTGATATTCAGGGAGCTTTCACACCTCTAGTTTGGTTCATGTCCACACTGGCTTTTTACAAACTAACCTGTAAGAGCTGTAAACATGAAGTCATTTAGTCTGATGTGTTATTACCATTTGACAAAAAGTAGTCCCTGTCCTTCATAAAGCACTTTAACCAGTGTATACCATCTTATTGTCTGTCTAGTAATATTTTGTGGTTGACTGTTTTGAATGCAGCACTGAAATCTAATAATGCCAAGACTAAAATTAAGTGGATGTCCTTAACAAGAGCAGTTTAAGTGCTGTGGTGTGGTTACAGTTATTGGAAAAACAGGCCTTTTTTTTATTGATTTTATTTAAGAATGGGAGGTTTGTTATTGGGTGTAATTATAGTTCATTAGTGAGTTGTCTAGATTGAATTAGGGGGGCATTACTGTGGGATGTTACACACTTTTTAAAGGACTTCAGTAACTGCCAAAGTACACAGAGTAGGATACAAGCACAACACACTGCAACAGCTTTCTCTCAGGAGAAATCTCTGCACTCAAGTGTGGATATGCACACTGTTTTAATTAATTGTGCAGCCCTACTTATTAGATTGCTTCGTGAACAGTTTTCAATCAGGATTTGAAGGTCCAGTGTGTAACATTTAGAAGGATCGATTGGCAGAAAGTGAATATAATATTCATAGGTGTGTTTTCATTAGTGTATAATCACCTGAAAATAAGAATTGTTGTGTTTTTGTGTATTTTCCTCTTCCATGGAAGCGATGTTAAACCGTCATGTTTCCACAGTAGAAGGGACAAACCAAACACTGGCTCTAGATTGGGCTTTTTGCATTTTAGTTTTAGAGTTTTGCGACCACTGTAGCACATCTCGAACAGGTGGGTGAGACGATGGAGTTGTAATCTCCAACCCATTACACCTAGCGGCTAAATGCCACTAAACCCTACACACTGTTCCTTTTTAATAGTAGATTAAAAATGTATTAATGCTAAAATCACAAATCCAGTATCACAAAATCCTGTGGTTGGTCTGGACAAACAGCACCAGAGTCTGCTTAGAGACAGACTGACACCTTCCTTTATAGTCGGTCTTGGTTTGACCGACAGCTGACATACCACCAAAAAAAACAACGCATGGGAAAACACACCCCAATTGATCTGAACCAACCTGGTTAGGTGCGAAAGCCCCCTTAGAGTCCTGGATGAGCACCTACTTTGTGGTTTTCAAGCACAGTACATATCGGACATACAGCCATCAGTGTCACTAATGTTGGTGCCTCACTGACTGACGATTCTGCACCCACCCAGCTGACCTGTTGTCTGGCTTCGTTTGTCTTTTCACATGCATTCAAAAGTTAAAATAATCATGCTTCCCAATGGCTTCTGCCAGGAAAATACAGGCCTCCTGAAGGTCCTCTGTCATTGCCAAGGGAAAATAACAGAGAGGGAAATTCTTCCTGAGCAACAACCCAAACAGTTCTTAATGATTGTGATTACAGTGGAAAAATGAAGAAAAACAGTGCTGTTATGTAATATGATGAAAGTAGCAATGATGCTGTAGATCACAGCTTTCCTCTGCACGCGACTTTGCAATCTCACATTATTTTAACCAGCAGTGCTGTAGTCGTTAATTTGAAGTTGCGTGAAAAGGGTAAAAAGATGTTTGCGTTTCATGTCACTAACTGAATATGACATGCTTTCTTTAACTGAAGTGAACCTCATGTCACAGTCAGACAATTACCCATCCATCAGTCTCTCAATAGACTTTTTTTAAGCCGATAGAGTTCCTTTGCTCTCCCCATACACCCAGACAGACAAAGCTCAGTTCAGACCGTCAACTGCTGGACGTCCTCAGTCGGCCTTCTAGCAATGCTTTCTCAGCAGGCTGAAGCAGCATTGTAAAAGAGTGCTTTTGGCAGAGAGGGTGTGGAGAGGTGGGAATTAAGTAGGGGTCAGAGAGCACAGTAGGTCAGTCAACCAGTGCATTATCAGGCCTGTCTATCAGACTTACACCAACCCCCCCCAGAGTCTGCTTTCTCTCACTTTATGTTGTATAAAAAGCACTGTTTATCTGAGGAGAAGTGCATCATTGTACTAGACAACCTTATCTTTCTAATGTCTGACTGTGGGAAGATAAGAAGTTTGTTTTGATATGTTCACATGTGGATCTCTTTTGTTTACGTGAGACATTTAAGTGCTGTAAATATCTAACTTGTAGTGCCTAGTGTTAAGGTGTCAGTTTATCTCTCCTCTGTTTAAGTGTGTTACTGTTGCAAGTTAGTCTGTGTGCAAGTTGTGTAAACTTGTGCTGTGGCGCCCCCTACAGGCTGGATCCATGCTGTTCTCACCTCTCAGGATTGCATGGCATTTGGAGGGAACTTCCTTCACAACCTCAATATTGGCATGCAGCTCAGGTAAAGAGCTCACAACATACGAGACTGGCTTCATTGTGTCTGTTTTAATCGAATCTAGAGACTCATTTGCTCTCGTTTGTTACCGCATCTGTTGGTTTGTAGGTGTTATGAAATGGAGCGTCGTCTGAAAACCCCAGACCTCTTCAAGTTTCCGTACTTCGAGGCCATCTGTTGGTATGTGGCCAAGAACCTCTTGGAAACGCTAAAAGGTAAGAGTCAGATGTTTGATGTGTACAAACTACAGAGATGAGAACACACGATACTAGATGTAAGATAAAAGTTAGATGTTTTACACATCAGACATGTTAGACAATTATAATAATAGATAGATAACAGGCTGTAAATAGCATTCAGATGTATTTGATGCAACTAAAAGTGCCATTATAGCCATTATTCAAGCTATTGCTCAAAATATTTGCTGTCCTGTTAATACAAAAAAATCTCCAATATCAAGAAAAACTTTAACTTTGTACATTTTTACACAGTCTAGGGCATTTTTAAAGGTCCAATGTGTAACATTTAGGAGGATCTGTTGGCAGAAATGGAATATAATATTCATAGATATGTTTCATTAGT